TTATTTGAGTTGGAAAAGCTTAAATCCATTGATGATGCTAAATTGAAGTGTTGCTGCATTAATCTTGAAAAGTATTTCATGCATAACATGGTATCCGATATCGATGGGCTAGAATTATTTTCTGAGTTGAAAGTTTTAAGGGAAGCAATACCTATAGAAACTAATGGTACAACTGCTGTGTTAGATTACATTAAGAGAATGAATTGTTGTTTTGCAAATGCTTGGGTTGCTTATAGGGTATTACTGACTATTCCGCTAACCGTTGCGTCCGCTGAAAGAAGTTTTTCAAAGTTGAAATTGATCAAGTCTTATTTTCGATCAACCATGTCACAAGAGAGGTTGAATGGATTAGCTATGATTTTTATTGAAAAAAACATGTTGGAAAAACTCGATTTGAGTTGTTTGATTACTAATTTTGCATCTCAAAACGTNGTTGTTTGATTACTAATTTTGCATCTCAAAACGTGAGAAGACTAAATATGATGCTAGCCTAATCTTTCCGGTTGTAAGTGATACTTTATTTTGCAATTCTATTTTTAGATTGTACAAAGTTTTCATTTAAATATAGATATTTCTTTTATTTAAATATTGTTACACGTGTAAAAAAAATATAGGGCCTCAAAATAATTTGTCGCTTAGGGCCTCCGAATTCTCAAGGCCGGCACTAGTGAACATCAAGGCATAGCCGGCCACGGCGGCCAGTACAACCCACATTTGGCCTATTTGAAAGCTGAAACAACTGCGTAAGTACTATAAATTACTACTACTCTAGTCTATTTTAGTCCCAGAAAAAGGTGTCTTCAGTTCATTGCTTCTGGCCATCTTACCATTAACAATGGTTTCATTCTTAGTAAATAAACATTTTCTACTGGGCTTTCTTGTCATCATTGCCACTTCTTGGAAAGCCAAAGCAAGTGATCCGGATATTTTATCTGTGACAGTTGAATTTTAGAATAAAAGGATATGAGATAATGAAGAAGAAATTGTGAGATATATTGAATGATCTTGAATTATAATTTACACGGAGAATAGAACATTATATACATATATTTTGGAGTGGTGAGCAAGCTAGAAAATTAGAGATTACATGTGCAAAACCGTGAGGGAATATTTTATAGTTACAAACAATGACCATCACACTACAGGTGCACATTAGCACCTATCAGCATTAGGCCAACAAGGATGTCAGCACGTGAGCTTTGGCTGCTGATATGTATACAATTTTAACATTCCCCCTCAAGCTGGAATTCATTCTTTAACTCCCAACTAGTTCTTTAGAAGTAGAAACCTGAAATGTGAGAGGGGTTTGGTTAATAGGTCAGCACCTTGATCAGATGAGTGAACATATTGGATGCATAATGTTCTTTCAAGGACTTTATCCCTGACAAAGTGTATATCTAGCTCAATATGCTTGGTTCGAGCGTGATAGACAAGATTTAAGGCTAGTGCGCTAGCACCAAGGTTATCACACCATAGTACAGGGGCTGAATTAGTGTGCAAGTCGATTTCTTTCAATAGTGATTCGATCCAAGTTATTTTAGCTGCTGCATGTGCTAGAGCCCTATACTCGGACTCAGTGCTAGACCTAGCAACAACATGTTGTTTCTTTGAAGACCAGGCAACAAGTGTGTCTCCTAAGTAGATACAATACCCGGCTGTAGACCTCCTGTCATCAGGACACGACGCCTAGTCTGCATTAGCAAAGCCTGTGAGAAGGATTCTGACAGCTCTTTAGATCCATAGTCCTTGTTTAATTGTTCCCTTTAGGTATCTGAAAATCCTCTTGGCTGCCTTCCAGTGAGCATCTGATGGTGATTGTAGGAATTGGCTCATCTTATTAACTGCAAATGTTATATCAGGCCGAATATGAGCCAAGTATTGCAAACCACCTATAGAACTTCTATACAAGGAAGGATCTTCCATTTGTACACCTTCATCTTTTGAGATGATCTTTCGTGCTATCATAGGGGTTGTACATGGATTAACATGTTCGAGATTGAACCTTTTTAGTAGGTCTCTTGTGTACTTAACTTGAGTTAGATGCATGCCTGATTTTTCTCTTCTGACCTCAATTCCCAGAAATTTGTGTAACTCCCCCATGTCTTTTAAGGCGAATTATGTATTCAGTTTGTCAATGAAATCCTGCAGTACTTGATGATCATTGCCTGTGATTACTATATCATCGACATATACCAAGGCAAAGATTACATATTTCTGATTTGTGTAGAAGAATAGGGAGCAATCTGCTTTTGACTTCGAAAAATTTCAGTCTAAGAGTGTTTTCTTCAGCTTCTCATACCAAGCTCTAGGAGCTTACTTAAGTCCATAGAGTGACTTTTTTAGTTTGCAGATGAAGGCTGGTTTATCTTGGTTGATGAAACCTTCAAGCTGCCTCATATATACTTCTTTTTCAAGCTTTCCATTCAAAAAGGCGGTGTTGACATCAACTTGTCTAATATTCCAATTCTTAGAGACTACAAAGGTAAGGATAACTCTCAATGTTGAGGCTTTAATAACTGGGCTAAATGTCTCATAATAATCAACTCCCGAGGTCTGCAAGAATCCTTTTGCAACAAGTCTTACTTTGTGCTTTGGAATTTTACCATCAATATCATACTTAACTTTGAAAACCCATTTATTCCCTATCACATTTTGGTTAATCATAGGTGGTACAAGTTCCCAGGTTTTATTTCTCATTAATGCTTTGTATTTATCCTCCATAGCCTCTCTCCAACATCTGATTGATAGAGCCTCATCAACATTATCATGTTCAATTTTGTTCTGCTGAATGTTGTGCTCTTTACATTGAGTGGAGTATACCTTAGGTTTAAAGATGCCAACCTTGCTTCTGGTAATCATAGGATGTTCAACAGTCTGATTTCCCTGTTTTGCCACTCTTGGATGAATTTCTTCATCCACCTCTGTTTGATCTGACCGAGTGTTTAAGATGCCTTCTTAAGTCTCAATGCAGCCATTTTCAGTGTTAACTTTTGTATTTACAATCTCCTCAGACATCATATTTTAATCTGATATCTATTGATCAAAACTATGAGGTGACATTGTTGAAGTTGCATCAAAATGAACTTCATCAGTTGAGCATGGTGAAATATGGTTTGAAGGAGTATGAAAAGGAAGATAGTGGATGACAGTTTCAGAGTTTTGTGATTTATTTCTTTTGTTAAGGAATCCACACTGAAAAGGGAATTCACTTTCATTAAAAACCACATGTCTAGATATGTATATTCTTCTAGTTAGGCTGAGACACTTGTACCATTTGTGTGAGTTACTGAAACCAAGAAAGACGCATTTGGTAAAGTGAAAACTGAATTTATGTGCTTGATAGGGTCTGAGACATGGGAAGCGGCACAGCCAAATGTCTTGAAGGATTTATAGTCTATCTGTTCGTTATCTAGGACATGAAAGTGTGCTTTCATTTCTAGTACAGGTGTAGGTAGTCTATTCATCAGAAAAGTGGCAGTATGAAAGGCCTCCCACCAGTAATGTAAAGGCATTTTGGCTTGAACAAGAAGAGTTAGACCGATCTCTGTTATGTGTCTATGTTTCCTCTCAGCTCTCCCATTTTAGGCTGATGTATGTGGACAAGACAAACGCATATCAATTCCAAATTTAAGTGCAAATTCAGTGAAGGCCCTGAATTCACCTCCCCAATCAGATTGGAGAGTTTTGATTTTTCTGCAAGTTTATTTTCAGTTAAGTTCTTAAACTGAATGAACAGGTTGAAGGCATCAGACTTGTTTTTCATGGGGCATATCCATGTATATCTACTGAAGTCATCAATGAAAATGATGTAAAATCTGAAGCCTGATGTTGAGTTTATGGGTGTAGGGCCCCAGACATCTGAGTGGATTAAATCAAGGGGAGCAAGGGCGTGTGAATCAGAAAGTTTGAAGGGTAGGGAATGTGATTTACCAAGTTGACAAGCATCACAGAAGTGATTGATTTCATTAACATTAAGTTTATCATTATAATGTTTGAGTACATGTGACAAGACATAAATTGTAGGATGGCCAAGTCTCATGTGCCATTGCTTAAACTTTGACTCATTTTCAGTAACATTTTTACGGGATTTGAACTCAGCAAGGAACGTTGAAGGAACCAACTTATTGGAATGAATCGACTCTTGATAGGTAGACCTTTTGGCTTGATTTGGATGCTCAACTTGATAAAGTCCATCCTTAAGCTTCCATTCCAACAACACCTTCTTTGTTTGTATGTCTTTCACAACACAGAAATTAGGATGAAACTCCATAAACACATTATTATCAAATGTTAACTGAGAGACGCTAATCAGATTCTTCTTAATTGAAGGTACCAGCAGCACATTACTAAGTGTTAGTGGTTTGTTACTCAGTGTGTCTAAGTGATTTGTACCAATGTGAGATATGTGCAGTTTGTTACCATCACCAACTGAGAGTTTCTCATTACCACCATATTCAGTTGCTTCAGATAGACAATTTTTCTCAGCAGTGACATGGTTGCTAGCTCCTGAATCTGCATACCAGGATGGATCTACAACAGTGTTGGAAGAAGCTATAAGGGCTGCTGGTTTTGGGAAATTATTTTGTTGATGTTGATTAGGTCTGGTTCCCATATACCTTTCATCATAGCGGTTGAAACATTTATCTACTGAGTGATTGTTCAAACCGCAAATATGGCAAGATCCTTTGTTTTTAGTCCTGATAAATCTACCCCTGCTTCTTCCTCTGTTGTTAAAGTTTTTTCCTCCAAAGTTATGTCTGCCTCCTCTATTAATATTGGGCCTGTGCACAAAGTTTGCAGAGGTGTGACTTAAGTTTACTGATGCTAGGTTATTTTTCAATGTATTGAGGTGTTCAATTCGACTCTCAAAGGTCATTAGAACTGACTGCAGCTCATGCCAAGTAATAGACTCTCTACTATTGATTTGAACAACTATGGGCGTGTACTCCTCATCAAGTCCAGCAAGTACTTGTGTAACAAGATCACTATGAGGAATAATTTTTCCTGCAATTTCAAGGTTGTCTGCTAATTGTTTGATAGTGTTTAGGTATTGATCAATGCTCATTAAGCCTTTCCTTGTCCTTTGAAGCTCACTTATGAGAAAAGTGACTCTCGATTTATTTATCACCTCGAAACTCTCCCGAACAGCATTCCAGAGGGAGTGAGAGGTGGAGGATCCCATAACTCTCATGGCAATCTCAGCAGTCATTGATGAGTAAAGCCAACCCATCAATAGTTGGTCTATAGACATCTATTTTGCAAACTCTATGTTGGGTGCCATTTCAACTGTAACGCCAGTGGCACAAGTATTTTGTGTTGCCAAAAATTCAGCAGGACATTCCTTCATTCCAGTAATGAATCCTTCAAGGTTGTGGCCCTTGATGATGGGCATTACCATGTTCTTACACAGTAAAAAATTGTTCCTATCAAGCTTCACTGGAGGTACTTGGTTAAGGCTGATTCCAAACACTGGTAAATGATTTCCTCCCATCATTGAAGGCATCACAGTGTTTGATTCTGGTTGTGCAGATTGTCTGTTAATGTTTGATCCGATATTAGTCTTATCGCGCTCTGATACCATGTTGAATTTTAGAATAAAAGGATTTGAGATAATGAAGAAGAAATTGTGAGATATATTGAATGATCTTGAATTATAATTTACACGGAGAATGGTACATTATATACAGATATTTTGGAGTGGTGAGCAAGCCAGAAAATAACAGATTACATGTGCAAAACCGTGAGGGAATATTTTACAGTTACAAACAATGACCATCACACTATAGGTGCACATTAGCACCTATCAGCATCAGGCCAGCAAGGATGTGAACACGTGAGCTTTGGCTGCTGATATGTATACAACTTTAACAGTGACTTCATAGTCCCACCAAATGTCACTACACCCGACAAAAGTGTCTCTACCTATACTGGCCTGCGTGGAGTTTTGGATTCCATCCCACCAAACTTCAAGGTAACAAAAGCGAGCAAGGCAGAATTCCCTGCTCTGGATGGCCACAGTGTTTCAATGGCAGTACTGCAGTTCCCTGCTAGTGGAGTTAATCCCCCTCACACACATCCACGTGCTGCAGAACTCTTGTTTGTCGTAGAAGGCTCTCTCGAGGTTGGATTTGTTGACACAACTAACAAACTCTTCACTCAAACACTCCAAACCGTAGATATTTTTGTATTTCCAAAGGGACTAGTACACTATCAGTACAATGTCGATCCCAAAGAACCATCCACTGTAGTTTCCGCTTTTGGTAGCGCTAGTGCGGCACTGCTTCACTTCCCACAACTTTCTTTGCCACTAGAGTAGATGAATCAATTCTTGCTAATTATCAAAAATTTAAAAAAAAAAATTTTAACGGGGAATAAACCTACCCCCACCCCCGTCCCGCCCCGCCCCGCCCCGCCCCGCCCCGTTGTCATCCCTATTCCCATATACTTTTATCATAGCGGTTGAAACATTTATCTACTGAGTGATTGTTCAAATCGCAAATTTGGCAAGATCCTTTGTTTTCAGTCCTGATAAATCTACCCCTGCTTCTTCCTCTGTTGTTAAAGTTTCTTCCTCCAAAGTTATGTGTGCCTCCTCTATTAATATTGGGCCTGTGCACAAAGTTTGCAGATGTGTGACTCAAGTTTACTGATGCTAAGTTATTTTTCAATGTATTGAGGTATTCAATTCGACTCTCAAAGGTCATTAGAACTGACTGCAGCTCATGCTAAGTAATAGACTCTCTGCTGTTGATTTGAACAACCATAGGCGTGTACTCCTCATCAAGTCCAGCAAGTACTTGTGTAACAAGATCACTATGAGGAATAATTTTTCCTGCAATTTCAAGGTTGTCGGCTAATTGTTTGATAGTGTTTAGGTATTGATCAATGCTCATTAAGCCTTTCCTTGTCCTTTGAAGCTCACTTATGAGAAAAGTGACTCTCGGTTTATTTATCACCTCGAAACTCTCCCGAACAGCATTCTAGAGGGAGTGAGAGGTGGAGGATCCCATAACTCTCATGGCAATCTCAGCAGTCATTGAGGAGTAAAGCTAACCCATCAATAGTTGGTCTGTAGACATCCATTTTGCAAACTCTGTGTTGGGTGCCATTTCAACTGTAACACCAGTGGCACAGGTATTCTGTGTTGCCAAAAATTCAGCAGGACATTCCTTCATTCCAGTAATGAATCCTTCAAGGTTGTGGCCCTTGATGATGGGCATAATCATGTTCTTACACAGTAAAAAATTGTTCCTATCAAGCTTCACTGGAGGTACTTGGTTGAGGCTGATTCCAAGCACTGGTAACTGATTTCCTCCCATCATTGAAGGCATCACAGTGTTTGATTCTGGTTGTGCAGATTGTCTGTTAATGTTTGATCCAATATTAGTCTTGTGGGGCTCTGATTCCAAGTTGAATTTTAGAATAAAAGGATTTGAGATAATGAAGAAGAAATTGTGAGATATATTGAATGATCTTGAATTATAATTTACATGGAGAATGGTACATTATATACAGATATTTTGGAGTGGTGAGCAAGCCAGAAAATAATAGATTACATGTGCAAAACCGTGAGGGAATATTTTACAGTTACAAACAATGACTATCACACTATAGGTGCACATTAGCACCTATCAGCATCAGGCCAGCAAGGATGTGAGCATGTGAGCTTTGGCTGCTGATATGTATACAACTTTAACAGTGACTTCATAGTCCCACCAAATGTCACTACACCCGACGGAATTGTCTTTACCTATACTAGCCTGTGTGGAGTTTTGGATTCCATCCCACCAAACTTCGAGGTAACAAAAGCGAGCAAGGCAGAATTCCCTGCTCTGGATGGCCACAGTGTTTCAATAGCAGTACTGCAGTTCCCTGCTGGTGGAGTTGATCCCCCTCACACACGTCCACGTGCTGCAGAACTCTAGTTTGTTGTAGAAGGCTCTCTCGAGGTTGGATTTGTTGACACAACTAACAAACTCTTCACTCAAACACTCCAAACCGTAGATATTTTTGTATTTCCAAAGGGATTAGTACACTATCAGTACAATGTCGATCCCAAAGAACCATCCATTGTAGTTTCCGCTTTTGGTAGCGCTAGTGCTGGCACTACTTCACTTCCCACAACTTTCTTTGCCACTGCTCATCTACTTAGTTAAGAACGATTGTTCTTCAAAACTGATGTCGCTACCATTCAGAAGCTCAAGGTAGGTCTTGCACCCAAAGCCTAGTCTAAAGCTTCCAAATGATTTTCAAAATGCAATATTGACTCTTTCTTTCTAATTGTGGTGTAGCATTCAGTTTTTCTGATCTAATAAAATTTCTCTATTAGTCTCAATAGACATGTTTCCTACATAAAGCAAAGATGATATATAATATATTACTCAGTTGGAAAATTCAAAATGAATATACAAAGCCAAATTCAATTATATTTCATAGTGCACAATGCCAATGAATATTGAATGAATTAGCTTCACCTTACACAATGGAACATGAAATAGTGGAAGCACTTTGGGAGACAAAGAAATGGGAATACTTCAAATAAACTCTTCATGAGACGCCATATCTAGTTCTTATTGATGGCTCAACTTGATCGCCTAATCTCTCCTTATGTGCCAGTCACGACTTGGACCGAACTCAGCCAGAAAAGTGGTAACCATTGGCAAAGGCTACCTCCGAGGAATTTGATAGTGGATCAAGAGCTTGTTCTTGGTCAAGTATGTGCTTTTGGATGCTTAATTGGAGACAAATATAGTTTTCAAGCACATTTGGCTTTTGAATACTTAAATGGAGCTTGTTCTTAATCATTTCTTGGCACCCATGAGAGTGTTGTTCTACAAAGTATTCAAAACTCAAATTTCCAAAAAGTATGTAAACTGAGTGCGATTGTCAAAGTCTAGCAAAAAGATACCATAGACCACCTTACAAGAATAAAGTGCAAAGGTGGCTCCTTGTATAGGAGCTTAAAGAGCTCATTATTCAAATTACGTGGCATGCTCGTGGTAGAGGGAGTCCCATATACGCCGACGGGCATCAACAATTCATTGAATTTGGCCTATTAAAAGTAACTTCGTCTTGGACTTGAACTCGGTTCATTAATATCACTTTGCCCATTTTCATTTCACAATGAAGATATGTTCTCTAACACCAATCAACTCCTCTTTCCCATCTCGCACTCATATTTCTCTCTTCCGACAGTTGATTTGATCGTCGAAGTGCTAACGGCCGTCGGTCCTTTTTTCTACCGACTGGCTTTGCCTCCTAACAAGGTATTCAAATCCCCCGTTTGGCCCCCATTATCCCAAAAATTTATTATTCTATTTATTTTTAACCACACAATCTTCCATAAAATAATATTACACGTAAATCGAAAACTTTTATTTCTTTTTCAACAGTACATTTTTCAAAAAAAATACTATTCCAAAAATTATACCCTCGTTTGGCCCCCATTATTTGAAATTTTAATGGTTGGAATTGTTTTTTTTTCAAATGTGTGGTTGAAAAAGAAGAAACAGTTTTGCGATTACATATAATATTATTTGTTGGAGAATGTGTGATTGATAAATAAAGTGAAAAAAATAAATCATAGGGTTGACAGGGGCATGATTTCAAATAATGGGGACCAAATAGGGGTTAAAAACATAAACTAGCTAATGCTTATTAAACAAACTCTTAGTAATGCTTATGTTACAACGTAATTTTAAGGCCTCGTTTGGTGGATATTAAAATCAAATTTTTAGTAGATTTTGATAAAAATTAATAAAATATGTGGTTCTCATTAAATGTGTGGTTAAAATTAATTATTAACTTTAATTGAAGAATTTAATTGGATTTTAATCCAAATCGGTAGAAAACCGAAATTAGAGACAGTAAATTAAAAATTAATTATAAACAAGGAAAATAAAACAAGGAAACACCTAACCGACTTTGAAATTGGTCCAAAACATATGAATACTTCAATTTGAGTCCTTAGAGAAAGCGAGGCATCTCAAAAATGGTGGAAGGCAGAGTAGTTATCGTCTCCGCTCTACAATTCGCTTGCTCCGATGATGTCTCCACAAACGTAGATACTGCCGAAAGGTACGTTTTCACTTTAAGCAAGTCAAATCTTTTAAATTTTTTCATTTCCAGATTTAATTCTTAGTTCAAACACCATGTTTTAATTGCATTTGAGCTATGATAGGCATGTCGAAATAATTAGTCAGTGATTGTACTACTGATCTGTACGCTGAAATTTCTGACCTTATTGAGTATTCATTGTTTGAGAACTTTTTGAGTTAAGCTGTGTTAGCTTCTCGTTCAAGACAGAATTGTGTAGTATTAAATATCAAATCAATACCTTTCCATTGTTCAAAAAAAAGTGAAAAAAAAAAGTAGTTTTAATTGGAAGTATCGTTGATGTATGTACGTTGCTGGACAGATGCCCTGTAATGTGTATCCCCTTACTCATACGTGGATGATATGTTTCTTTAGCGTTAAAATTTTAGGTTCCATATTAATAGGTCAACCTTATTAAGAGCGGCAGCACAAACTCTTATAAATCGGTCTATGTTTTCATCTTTATTCGATGTGGGAATTTTATCCCTTAACACGCCGTTTCGCAAGATAACCTCGAGGGGTTGCTCAATTGATCAAGCCTGGGATTTGCTCTCCAATGGTCACCAGTTCGAGTCCCCTCAAGGCTATTGAGATGAGAACTCGATAGTAAATTTCAGGGGCTCGTGGGATTAGTCGAGATGTGCGCAAGTTGGCCCGGACATCCACGATTATCAAATAAAAAATGACATCGCAAGATAGTGGCTCGTTTGAGTGGACCAATCTTGAAATCTATATGCTCAATTTTTTAGTTTTAATCGAATTTCGTTAGAGCATAGCGGGCTCTGATACCATAAAGAAGATAATATTTTCTGGTACGAAGGTGATAATATTCATTCATGTATTGATGAGAATATATACAAGTACATATGGATCAATTATAGGATCAATTACAGCTAATTACATGTGAGTTACGGGAGTTACACCCTAAAATAAAGATACAAATTATTACAAATGAGTTACGGGAGTTACACGAGGAGCTCAAACTCTTATAAATTGATCTATGTTTTCATCTTTATTCGATGTGAGATTTTTATCCCTTAACAGTTAGTTGGTTATCAATCATGCTAAATAAATAGAGAAGGGGAAATAAATTATTCATGTGAATATTATATTTATGTTCTGAAACAAACAATTCCCTAATCCTTAAGTAACGACAGTTAAGCAGCCATTAACATGAATCCCTGTTGAATTGGTCTCTACAGTATCAGAATTTTTATGATATAGAAGGAGCAGTTAGAAATAATATTATTCTAGCTGCAGCTCATGTTTCAAATATAAAACATTTTGTATTTTCATGAGAACTTTGTGGCATTGGCATCTGCATTAAGTGTCATGAAGAGTTCTTTGATGCAGATTGGTTAGAGCAGCTCATCAGAAGGGTGCAAAAATCATTCTTATACAGGTTTGTGCTATTCAAAGTAAAGAATTAGTTTCTTAATGAGTATTTTGGTATCGGCATGCCATTTTTAGTTGGTTTGGACATCATTTAATAGTTCTCATGGAACTTTCTTTTTTATAATTTCTCTTCGTATTTTGATTTCCTCTTTAAACCGTTGGAATTTTGAACAAACGTGTCATCATTTGCAGCATATATCTACTACCTTGATGCCATTGAATTGTTAATTTGAAGCACTCAAATCTCCAACAGTCGGATGTAAATAAGATTTCTTTTATTATATGTTTGATGCCAAAGATGATGGCTGATAAAGTCGTCACAACTCAAATGTGTTTTGGTTACTTCTGTTTGATTCTTAGTTTAGTTCTACTAATTAGATTTTTTACTTCCACTTCCAACGTGTTCTGCTAAGAATGCTTGTGAATGGGAGCTTCTTTTTCTCCAACCACCTGAGTCATCATTTCCTTAATTAATCTTCACAAACAATAGTCTTATATAATTATTTTTTGTTCTTACAGGAGTTATTTGAGGGTTATTACTTCTGTCAAGCACAGAGGGAGGATTTCTTTCAGCGAGCTAAACCCTATAAGGATCACCCTACAATATTGAGGTGTAGTTGGCTTCAAAATGTGGATGTAGACGTCGACTGAACTCAGTCTTTTTGGCTAAATCTCTGAGGTTCACAGGATGCAGAATCTTGCAAAAGAATTGGGAGTAGAAATACCAGTTAGCTTCTTTGAGGAGGCAAACAACGCACATTACAATTCAGTGGCTGTAATTGATGCTGATGGAACTGATCTTGGACTTTATAGAAAGTCCCATATCCCAGATGGGCCAGGTTTGTCAACTGGGGATGGCTGATCTAATTTGATATATTCGGTGATAAGCTTAAATTACAGCGTATTATATTTCTCCCAGGTTACCAGGAGAAATTTTACTTCAATCCAGGTGACACTGGTTTCAAGGTTGGTGTTAATTCGTTTAGAATCCAAAGATGATATTTCTTATATTTCTTTAATATATTTTTATTGTAGTTATGATGGTTGGTTATGATTATTTCAGTGACTTGAAATATTGATTGACAGGTATTTCAAACTAAATTTGCCAAAATTGGAGTAGGTAAGATTTTCTTTACTTGATATTCGGAGAAAAAATTAAAAAAAAAATAAAAAAAGATGTTCTTTACTTCTACCTTATATTACTGTTTTGATCTAATTTATGGTATTGTAGAAAGCTAACATTAAAAAATAAAAAAAATTGTACACAGATTTCAGCTTATACTGGAAACTACTAGTGACAGATGAGTGAAAGGGGGAGATTCTGTATCTCTCTATTAATTGTATTGGAATATTCAGCCCTTGTTTGGTACTGATTAAAATTTAGATTTTAATTTAAATCAAAATCAATAATTAATTTTAATCACATATTTTATAGAACCCACAACTTTTCAACCACACATTTCATCGACTTTTATCAAAATCTACTAAAAATCTGATTTTAATCCCCACCAAACAGTGACTCAAATATGCTTCCTGTTTATTCCTTTATCAGGAATTTGCTGGGATCAGTGGTTTCCAGAGGCAGCTCGCGCTATGGCACTTCAAGGTGCAGAAGTATTGTTCTACCCCACAGCTATTGGTTCTGAACCTCAGGATGATGGCCTAGATTCTCGAGATCACTGGAAGCGAGTAATGCAGGGGCATGCCGGGGCTAATTTGGTGAGTCCCTAACTTAATTCACAGGTTGCTTCTATAACTAATTTTTAGAAGGGGATCATGTGATTATTTATTAAACTACCTCATCTGAAATAAGATATTAGATAGGCGACGTGCTTTTTCTTTTATTTACATTAAGTCATGTCCCCCTTTATGTGCAGATTATGTTCATTTTTCCACTAAAGGTCTTAACACGTGCACAACAGTATCAACCCTGCATTGTTTAAATACTAGTCTTCTTGAATTGTAAGCCCTGCATTTCCAATCCAGTGGTACACTGGTACTACCCATTTACATTCAGGATTGGACAAAGTAACATATACTCTTGGGTTTACTTTATACTCCATCTTGTAGGTAATTAATGTGGAAACAAAAAGGATATTTTCCTTTAGTATGCTTTGAGGACTTCTTGTATTGTCGCGAACATAACCTTTGTGTATCAATTTGCATTGTTATGGTATTGTCATCAGGATAATTTCTAGGAGGGTGACCTTATAGGGTTAAATGCATTCAGGTACCTTTAGTTGCTTCAAACCGAATAGGAAAGGAGATAATTCAGACAGAACATGGCAAAAGTGAGATCACATTCTACGGGAATTCTTTCATAGCAGGTAAGCTTTTTAAGTATTAGCCAGAATTTGCAAAGCTGCAAGTACACATCATAATGTTCACAGATGAGGACTTTCAAACATGCTGCACTGTTGAACAGGACCCACAGGAGAAATAGTTACTACTGCTGATGATAATGAAGAAGCAGTTCTTGTCGCAGAATTTGATCTGGATAAAATTAAATCCAAGAGATATAGCTGGGGGGTGTTTCGTGATCGGCGTCCGGACTTATACAAGGTTCTTTTGACCTTAGATGGCAGCAACATATCTCTATGATTTATCAATGCTTTGTAACGGAGATGATCAACAAAAAACCAAGCATGTTTATTTTTTTACGTTTTTTAATGGTAGATTGATCAATTGAGAATCATATGTTTGAACATCAGTCTGATGAGCTTTGTAACATCAATATATAATGTGCTTGAAAATTGACATTAATCATTATAGATGATCTTTTTCATATTCTATATTTTTCATAGATGATAAACATCCTCAACCTTTAGAGTATCTCATTCTAGAAGATTTCATCTGTCAGAGTTGTGCATAAGTCTTCACATGGGCATCTCGAAATTCTCTTTCGGCATTGTGTAGCCATATTAAGTGGCTCGGAATATCTTTTTCCTTAACCTAAGTCCCATATCCCAGATGGGCCAGGTTTGTCAACTGTGGATGGCTGATCTAATTTGATATATTCGGTTATAGGCTTAAATTACAGCGTATTATATTTCTCCCAGGTTACCAGGAGAAATTTTACTTCAATCCAGGTGACACTGGTTTCAAGGTTGGTGTTAATACGTTTAGAATCCAAAGATGATATTTATTATATTTCTTTAATATATTTTTATTGTAGTTATGATGGTTGGTTATGATTATTTCAGTGACTTGTAATATTGATTGACAGGTATTTCAAACTAAATTTGCCAAAATTGGAGTAGGTAAGATTTTCTTTACTTGATATTTGGAGAAAAAATTAAAAAAAATAAAAAAAGATGTTCTTTACTTCTACCTTATATTACAGTTTTGGTCCAATTTATGGTATTATAGAAAGCCAACATTAAAAAAATAATAATAAATTAAATTAAATTGTACACAGACTTCAGCTTATACTGAAACTGCTAGTGACAGGTGAGTGAAAGGGGGAGATTCCGTATCTCTCTATTAATTGTATTGGAATATTCAGCCCATGTTTGGTACTAATTAAAATTTATATTTTAATCTAAATCAAAGTCAACAATTAATTTTAACCTCATATTTTTTGGAATCCACAACTTTTCAACCACACATTTCATCAACTTTTATCAAAATTTACAAAAAAATTGATTTTAATCCCCACCAAACAGTGGCTCAGTATGCTTCCTGTTTATTCCTTTATCAGGAATTTGCTGGGATCAGTGGTTTCCAGAGGCAGCTCGCGCTATGGCACTTAAAGGTGCAGAAATATTGTTCTACCCAACTGCTATTGGTTCTGAACCTCAGGATGATGGCCTAGATTCTCGAGATCACTGGAAGAGAGTAATGCAGGGGCATGCTGGGGCTAATTTGGTGAGTCCCTAACCTAATTCACAGATTTCTTCTATAACTAATTTTTAGAAGGGGATCATGTGATTATTTATTAAACTATATCATCTAAAAGCTTAAGATATTAGAGAGGCGACGTGCTTTTTCTTTTATTTACATTAAGTCATGTGCCCCTTTATGTGCAGAATATGTCCATTTTTCCACTAAAGGTCTTAACACGTGCCCAACAGTATCAACCCTGCATTGTTTAAATACTAGTCTTCTTGAATTGTAAACCCTGCATTTCCAATCCAGTGGTACTACCCAATTACATTCGGGATTGGACGAAGTAACATATCCTCTTGGGTTTACTTTATACTCCATCTTGTAGGTAATTAATGTGGAAACAAAAAGGATATTTTCCTTTAGTATGCTTTGAGGACTTCTTGTATTGTGGCGAACATAACCTTTTTGTATCAATTTGCATTGTTATGGCATTGTCATCAGGATAATTTCTAGGAGGGTGACCTTATAGGCTTAAATGCATTCAGGTACCTTTAGTTGCTTCAAACCGAATAGGAAAGGAGATAATTCAGACAGAACATGGCAAAAGTGAGATCGCATTCTACGGGAATTCTTTCATAGCAGGTAAGCTTTTTAAGTATTAGCTAGAATTTGCAAAGCTGCAAGTACACATCATAATGTTCACGGATGAGGACTGTCAAACATGCTGCACTGTTGAACAGGTCCCACAGGAGAAATAGTTGCTACTGCTGATGATAATGAAGAAGCAGTTCTTGTCGCAGAATTTGACCTGGATAAAATTAAATCCAAGAGACATAGCTGGGGGGTGTTTCGTGATCGGCGTCCGGACTTATACAAGGTTCTTTTGACCTTAGATGGCAGCAACATATCTCTATGATTTATCAATGCTTTCTGATGGAGATGATCAACAAAAAACCAAGCATGTTAATTTTTTTACGTTTTTTAATGGTAGATTGATCAATTGAGAATCATATGTTTGAACATCAGTCTGATGAGCTTTGTAACATCAATATATAATGTGCTAGAAAATTGACATTAATCATTATAGATGATCTTTTTCATATTCTATATTTTTCATAGATGATAAACATCCTCAACCTTTAGAGTATCTCATTCTAGAAGATTTAATCTGTCAGAGTTGTGCATAAGTCTTCACTTGGGCATCTCGAAATTCTCTTTCGGCGTTGTGTAGCCATATTAAGTGCTCGGAATATCTTTTTCCTTAACCCCTCTTTTGATATTTAGTTTGTGACTAGTGATTCTTAAATACCCTTTGTTCTTTTGATGCTGTGTTGTAAAAAGTAAGACTGCAATCATTTTTTCCTTTTTGTAGTCTGATATCTATTGAATATTCCATTTGATTCCATATAAGGGAATAAGTTGGTATTTATTTTGTTATTTTTTTCACAAAAAATGACAATCTATTGATGTAACCTTAGCAAAAATATCCTTCAATGGATTTGGTGATGTTCCCTTTCTCAAAGAGTTGATGACCCCAAGTTGTCACAAGGCTTGGGTGAATTCTGTAGCCACTTGGAGACTCAGTAGCCTCAGATTTTGCAACATTTATAAAATATCAGTGCCCATACTTCCCTGTAGGATCAACATCATGATGATGTAAGGCAATATCTGTAGAAATTTTGTGATTATTAGCCTTTCAATTTCTCGAAAAGCTCATTGTAACTCCAATAGCCTGTTCTTGACCATATCCTGGTAGCAGCTATATTATACCCTATACTCTATGCCAAGCTACCTCTTTAATTCACGTAGTTAATCTATTCAATTGTTTGTAAACATTACTTTATCTCGCCGAAAATCACTAGATGAAGTTGAGTTTGTTTTTTACCCCAAATTTATCGGGAAAATGGCTGTTTAGTTGTTTGTTTGTTCGTGTGCTTCTTATCTACTAGGATCCTTCAATTCTCATTGATTTGAAATGAGTCGGATACAGCCAGATAGTTATCTCCATATCTTTACCTGTGGGCAAAATAGCTAGAATACCGATAGATTGGAAGTCACAACCGTCAATCAATTGGCAGTTCATTCTGCTTTGGTTTATCATTTGGAAAAAAAAAAAGTGCATCCATTAAGTAGAGAGTCACGATTTGGACATTAAATTGTTTTTGGTCAACCAGAACCTCCTTACAGCGTCTTTCATTTGCTGGATGCATTGCTCACAAAATGACTTGCGGTCCATGGGCCAACGATTCGATTCGTTTGCTACCCCTATATTGATCTGATTGGATAACTTTCTAGGTTGTGTAGTGATTAATGAACCTAAATTGTGTTTGTCGATCTAAACAATTACCATCACATCAGATGCATAGCATAGTATCTTGATATTGAACTGGCAGCACGACTTTCTCAGCATCACGACCTTCCATGATCTTCTAGGCTTAAACTCTCAAGCTCGACCCTTTTTGCCTTGTTTTAACCACTCGTCGATTCATCATCGTCAATGCCACATTCCTACAACACAAACTAGTAACTGTTGCTAGAAAGCCTAAGGATCAAACACGTACCAAATTTGTCTGATCTCTTGGCAAATACTCCTAGATATTTGAGTAATATTTAACATTTAAAGATTCATATAATTGGAGAAGTGGACTAAAGTAATTAAGGGGAAGGCTATCCAAATCAATATGTAATACTTACAATCCAAAAGCAAAGGAAGAACTGTTGTTCATGTTCTTCAAAGGAACTTTATTTGCATACAGTTACGGGAAAAAAAAGGAAGAAATAAACTAAAAATTCTCTTATAATTGCAATGCAAAAAAGGCCCATTAAAACTGGAGAATTTTCGTAGATAACTTAGGCTTCGCAGTCGTTGATTTCTACATTCTCTTCTCCATTGTCCCGTCCCTCTTCATTCACATCGTCCTCGCTTTTATCGTCATCATTTTTACGGGGTTCTTCATTGATTTCCTCTATGCTATCTTCATCTTCTTCCTCATCCTCGTCGTCTTCAAGAATTTCTTCATCAGAATGAATAAACTGCAACTTCAAACGTCCATTTTCACGACATGAATGCATGAATTCCTGAGTTGGTATCCGTATCTCCTTAAGAATAAACCGACCGTTTTCTCTATACGATTTAAAGCACACCCATGGCTTCCCACTCCTACCTATACAAGAAATGGGAGGAGGAAATGACCCTCTACTTGTTCTTGATCTCTTTGAATATTCACTCCAATGGCTTTCAGTTTGAGTATTTCTTGTGAAACTTTTCCTTTCCTCCTGATGTTGAAATTCATTACAAATGTCATTCCTCAACAAATCCTCAACATCATCAAAACTTTCGAATCCAAGCCCTTCGGTGCATAGCGATAAACTGTCAGAATTGACAGATGAACAGCTATTGCTATGCCGGTATTGCTTTTTGTGGGTGGACGTTGGATAATAACTTGATGTTGGACTCTTGGCTTTTTCATGAATATTGCTGTTTAGGCTCTCAATTTTCTCCCTGATGAGTTTTTCATTAACAGATTTTTGATTCGCGTCAGGAAAAAACGTCGAATTTGAGGACAAAGATGAGGATGGAGAGGATGAAGATGATTCAGAGGCATGATTTTCTTTGAAATGTAATTCGCCGAATATTTCTGTAAACGAAGAATCATCAACCGGTTTCATGGATTTTATTTGTTTCCATGATGTAAGAGATTCAATAAGTGTTGGATTTTCTGGCAATGGCTTTTCAAAGATGTGTTCTAGGCTTCCACAGGCTGCCATGGTTGGCCTTTTGAGTTTTCTTTTTTCTCCTAGAAGACAATAAACACATATATATAAAAATCACTAATAGCTGGTTATCAAACTCTTGTGTGTGAGAGCGAAAGAGAAATAGATAGAGAGAGAAATGCACGGGAAGGGCATGAAAAATTGTTGCTGATAAAGTCAAGGGGGAAGAACTATTTATTAGGGATACCTCTCAGCTGGCAGTGGACTAAGGATGGGTGGTTATAAAGCTTTAGAATTTGATGGTCACAATTATAATTTTAGATGTCTTACCTTATCTTTCCTACGTAAAATTTGGGTTTCACCATGTGTCATGTATCCTTGGATATGCCAAAATATTCCAACTCAAAAAGCTAACACATATTCTTCTTTATAATTATTTCTCACTTCTCTAAAAACGAAGAGAAATAAATCTCGTTTCAAATAAATCTAGTGTGGAAAGCTACTAGAATGGACTTTCTCAAATTTCTTGCAATTTCCAATGAGCATTGTGTTATCTTGATGTCGATTGGCAAGATAGTATAAACCGTTAACAAACCCATCTTGAGAAATTGCTTTATTTAAATGGTTAAATCAAGAAGGATTTTCATTAATGAGGGCATGTTTGGTACAGATTTTCATTTTCTATAGTAAACCAATTCTCATTTTCAATCACACATTTTTCAATAAAATAATGTTTTTCATCACATCAATACTTTTTTCTTCTTTTTAAACCACACATTTCCCATCATATCACTATTCAAAAATCAATTCTTTCCCCTCATATTCCAATAGTAAAATGTTAGTTTGAGCCCCTGTTTGACTCACATTATTTTTTTCATTCTCATTCTTCTACTCATTTTCAACCACACATTCTTCAATAAAATAATGTTTTTCATCACATCAATACTTTTTTCTTCTTTTTAAACCACACATTTCCCATCATATCACTATTTAAAAATCAATTCTTTCCCCAAAAATCCCTACCAAACACACTCTGAATTGAGCCTGAACTGCATGTGTTGATCACAAAATTGCGCCAACAGATACCGAGCCCACTCGTGTTTTGGAAAGCTAATTCAACACGTGTTGACAGATTACTAGTCGAAAATGTTGAGTTAGAATATGGGAGAAGCTTTTGACATGAGACAAATATGTTTGGAATCCGGTAAATAAAAGAACAAAAGGATACGATAATGAACGATTAACCAAGAAACTAAATAAACACCGATATTACACAACTTTTTCCTCGAAATTCCAATGTCAAAAGTGGGAATTTATTTGAGTTTTTGATCTCTCATTTTTTCCAACCCCTCTTATGACACTAAGAGTGTCTATTTATAGTATTACACGTACAATAATGACCGTTGGATGAGGGGACACGTGGCTTCATCTCCTCGACCGAAACATCATTTCATAGACATCATTTCTGACTATTTTAGCTTATGGCGCCTTAAATGCTTTTGAAGAGGGCAGCCAACCCATGCCATGTGTTGACATGATTGACCATTTCCATTCATTGCTGCTGTCCAATCAATCATTTCAAGAGAATCTTAGGTACTTCAAGATTTTCAATCATAGGTTATCACCTGTCATGGTTGAACTTCGGGTTCTATTTTATTGAGCCTCGATTTGAGGTATAGGCTTCGGAGCTTTGGTTTGAACAAGTAATGTTTCAGCGTTGAAAATCTATCAATTTGTTGAGTGCTTCCGCTCCCTTGAGCATCGCATTGAGGTGCTTCGGTAATGTTAGGCCTTGGTGGTACGTTGGGCTTCGGGCTATAGCGCCTCGGCATGGGCCGTTGGGCGTCGGCAAATGGCGCCTCGGCACGGGCCATTGGGCTTCGGCCATTTCTTTACTTTTGGGCCATTGGGCCCTGGTGGGCGCAAGAGCATGTACCTGGTTTGTAATCTGAAATGGAGTTGCATATTTGACTTGCATTCAAATTTTGCTGCTTTTTTCCTCCAAATGATGTGTGAATGATAACTTTAATGTGTGAATGATAACTTTACCTGGTTAAACATCTATTATATTTATTGTTAAGTATACTTCAAGACAATGATGGCACCTGCCTTTCATTTTCTATGACATATTTTAAAGTAGATATATATAACAATAACAGAAGTGGATTGTTCCAAAACCACTGGGTTGCTTAGTGGTTCACTCAAAATTTATCTGCGTTGGACGGTAAAAAGATTCAAATCTTATCAGTTATTGAGTCGAGTCATGTCCAATACTACGTGGCAAAGATACCCTTATCATTGATAGGAAATGTCGCAGCATAGTTCCATATTTTTGTTGTGTAGTCCTAGAGCTTGGAAAGGTACATGTGCTACATTTAGCTATTGACAGAAAATTAAGAATGACATCTATGCTAACTAATATAGTTAGCCAAGTTTGAAGGATTTAATTGATAGTAACATTTTTATCCTTACACTGAATAAATGGAAGATGACATTTGCTCAAATGAAACTATGTGAACTGAAAATTACGTTTTAGTATTCAGGACAGTAGAATTTTGAACACAACAGATTAAGTGAAAACCAGCCAGCAACAGTTAGAAGTAAGAACTCGTACATGGACAATGGACAGTTAGTAACAGAATACAGGGAATACGGAGTCACATCAGACAATCATTCGATGGCATGGCCATGGACTGATTGTTTATCGCCAAGCTTCAATTCGTTCTGTCACCGAATTTATACGGCTTAAATTGCTAATTCCTATCTTGTTTTCGGTTTCCATAGCCATATCCACAAGTTGCAGCCTGTTAACTTTTCCTTCAGTTTTTGTGGGATTTGAAGCACTTGATTGGTCTGTTTTGCTTCTCTCATGGTTCTCTTCAAGCCGAGCATTAATTACTTTGGCTTCTCCTCCACTGTTAACACCATAAGGTACACTTGCATCAGATTCTTCAGTAAACGTTGAATAAGTGAGATGTTCCTCATCAGTGAGGTTATCCACTTGGTTGGAATCAGAAGCACCATCTGAATTGGGATCCTCTGCAATGAAGGTATCTTCTCTATCTTCATTTGATTCAACGAGATTGTCCAGATGTAGTTGTGAAGAATCCTGATGGCAATTATCATCAGAATGTTCCATGTGGGAGATGGGAGCTGGTTCTATAAGGGAATCTTCTCTTTCTCTTAAAGTCTTCTCTATTAGAGTCTTGAGGAAGTTCATCACTTGTACTGCATACATCAATGCAGTCAATGGATCTGCCATCTGTAAACGGAACAGGAACGGATATTTAGAAGACAGAAGGCCCTTAATAGAAAGATCACTGTGCATATGTAATAGGGCCTTTTACACTGTCCTAAACTGGAATCATTTTTGTGGAAGAGACTAGAAACTGAAAAACGTCTTGTATTGGATAACACACTACATCAGTATGAAGAAAAGGTATCTTTACACAAATTGACTGTAGAATACCTGTGTCATGTTCGGAGCAAATACCACTGCAATGTTGCGTGCATTCATCTTGTTTTGATGTTCCTGTTGGACAACGTCGACCATTAGGTTGATGGCCCAATCCAATAGAGCAGCCTCAGTTGAGGGTAGAAGCCTTACAAGTGCATCACAATCCTCTTCTGACTGGCACCGCATTACCTCCTCACAAGAAAGAGAATCTAGCACCCCTCTCGGTAGTTCTCTGAACCAAGCCTACGTAGATGAAAAAGTAGGCTGATGCCGAAAGGGCAAAAGAAGAAACAGTACATTGGATTCTAAAATCAACTGAACAAAACAATAGTAGAAATAAGGAGAGAACTCGGAATTGTAAAATGAGTCGCACAATATTTAAAATGTGGAACAGTGCTGTAAAGCTGGCATTACTGCCTGGACACTTGTTTGGAAAATAAGGAACGTGACAGCTGTAATTAAGAACTAAAAACAGATGTCCTGCTATCAAGAATATTGCACATATATTTAGGGGTTCGATAGATAGTGATTTAAGTATTTGGTGTTAGATAACTTGAAATCTATCACCCACGGTAAGGTCACAACTCAAGATGCTCGATATCCTATCTTGATACTCATTGCTACCAATCAGACTCTTGGAAACTCTAGCATGTTAGCTATATAGCCTATATATTATGGATATCTTTATAGAACTTAGGTTCAGCATGTAGACTTTGTGCTTCTATCAAGCCTGCATGTCAGATAATAGGGACAGGGGAAGAATAAACCAGAGAACTAATTTTTCTCACCTTTTCCCTTTTTACAAAATAAAAATAAAATCTAAAATTCTATATTTTGGGTTGAGTATCATAGTAAATGGAAAAAATACAATTTATACCAATCTCTTCCATAATTATGTTTAAGGCAGTTTTCATGTTCATAAACTTATGTAGTCCTAGGCGTTCTATGGTGCATTCTCTTACATTCTTCATTATGACCATGTTTTATCCTTTTCCCTGTTTCAAATTAATGCAACTACAAACACGACTCAGTAAGATTTTCCTTTTCCTTTTTAAGAAATTTTCGAAAGAAATAGATTGAAAGCAGCATTTCTCACAAGGGAACTACTAATTGAAGACAATTGATATTAACCTCTTTTAGATACAAGCACCCACTGACATTCTTTAAGTATATTTATGACAATGACAATTATTAGCTAAAAAAAACTATAGCAATTAATTCATTACTGACAAGTAATACTCTATATTTGTATCACTAGGCTGCCTAAGTATTGTATCTTCATCTTCTCTATCAACAGCAATTAATGACAAATTAATTTTGTGTCTGACCAAAAGTACAAAATGCTGATCAGTAACATTTTCCATACTTTCTTTGGTTAAGTTCAAGTATCTTCACTCTTTTTGAAATGATATTTCACATTTACTTTTGTTGAAGTAATAGTAAAGATGGATACAGTAGTATGAAATTTCAAATTGACTGCAATTGAATTGTCCTGCCCAAATGCAAGACAAATACAAATTTCTACCACACCGAATTGCTAAATGCAACCACATTTCAGACAAAACATATTGGCACAACCGTCTACATCTACACAAACTAAGCATGGAAAGAAACAAGGGGTCTTTCTGTCTTTATTGGCAAAGCTTATTTTCATCAACTAAAGAAGAAAACACTTGTAATCACTTTACAATCATCTCCTCCAGAGTAATGCTACAACTAAGCATGGTCCAACTCGTCTAGTTATCACCAGTTTCAATAATTCAACAACAAACGAAACCAATCAGATTTTTAGAGGACACAATCCTTTTTCCATCAACAGTAATGAAATAATAAAATCTATGTAGAAGCATCCATGCAGAAAATCTTGAGAACTTTTACCTTGATCAGGCCTGCTAAACAGTGCACATCAATGCCTTCTGGAACCACGCCACTGTTTAATTGGTCCCTCACATACTCTTCCTGACTATTTCCTGCAGTGATTCTGAAGATCCCTTCTACCTACACATGTACATTGAATGGTTGCCTAAGCCTAGACAGCTAGCAGATTCTACAATATGAAGAGGAGCAGCCACAAAAATAATGTTTTGCCAATATTCCAGTATAGTTTGTGCATCATATGTTACTAGATTTTTTAAATTCAAAGATGTTGAAGACATAATTTAAATAAATAAATTTGTCCCATCGCTTTGTTCAAATCTGGCAGCCACCCCCATTCATAAAAATTATGCACGTGCCTGTTTTTTATATTAGATTTAATTGAAGACATAAATTAAATGAATAAGTTTGTCCCCCTCTCTCAAAGCTTAAACATGGTATCCTCAGTTCAAATGTGGCAGCCACCCATTCATGAAAATTCTAAATGTGGTCTTTGATGAAAAAATGAATCTGGCCTGCAAGTATGTGAGGGGACATGTCGAAGGCATAATATAAATATATAAATTTGTCCTCCATTTAATATCTTGAACTTTTATAATAAACAGTTCAACAAATTTTATAATAAGATAATAATTAAGAGAAGGAATGATACACCTGCAGGCCTCCTTGAGCATACAAACGCCTTTGCAGCAGTAGGAGAATGGTTGGAACACTATTGCCTCTAGGATCGTATGATAGCTGCATTGATTCTGTAGAAACTCCAAAAACAGTGGCACTGGGATGGATTCCCATACCAAAGGAGAGGATGAGGAAGCAGGCATGCGAATATTACAGTTCGACAATCAAAAAGATTAATCATGAGGTATGCTGAAGTACAGAATTATGCAAAAGAAATGCTAAAATCTAGAAGTTCCAACAAATTAACAATATATGTTGAAGCATAATCTACTCTCAACATTTTTATTAAATATTAAAAAGCATAGTTTACGTCAAAAATTAAGGGGTCTGAATTCTGTCTTAAACACCTGGAGAATGCATCATAGAAATGTTTTGGACAAGAAAAAATCAGATAAAGACAGATATGCTCCTGTGACCACGGCAATATAACGTTCAGGCATTATGATAATTCAGCATGATATGCTTTTCTCATCTTGAAATAACAAATTTAGAGAGTAAGGGCTATGTGTGTAGTCCATAAGCAAGCTGAAAGGTTGGCACCCCTTAAGATGGCCTCAAAAGTAAGCCAAGTGTCAGTGTGAGCATTGGGTGATCATACGGATCGGTCAATATCTAGATCAGGTTTTTAATATTTAATTCAAAAAAGACTGAGCTCAATCTGGAGATCCTACGGTCATTTGGTAGACCACCTAGTTTTGGTTCAGAGAGCAGCAAAGGATTTATAACCAATTAAACTAATTTTCAGAAAATCTAAACGACCACATGATTAAACCCATTGTTTTTATAGTTCATAATTGTCCAATAGATGCTACAGAAGAGTATATTGAGGTCTAATCTTTAATTATTAGAAATAAAAATGATAATCACAAAATTATGTCATGAAAACGATAAAATTTGAAAATAAATAAATAAATTTAAGCCCATGTTTAATCCTTATTCTTAAAAACTCATTTTCTACCACATATTCTCCCAATAAAAAATTTATACACGTAAAACCAAAAAAATTCTTACTTCTTAACCATACATTCTCTAAAAAATCGCTATTACAAAATCTGTTCTTACAAAAAATGGGGCCCAAACAAACCCTGACATGTTCTTAAATAGACAAGCCAGAGGTCAACCAATCTTAAGGCAAAAGCATCGAAACGGGATAAAGGAAATGAATCCAAAGGAATCCAACAACCAGAGTATCAGTTATGAGATGCCTTAAACAATACAGTAGAAAAGACTTTATGAAGCCAAAATTTCACTGCAGAGATCAGTCAACAGAAGCCAAATCTTAAAATACGAACAAGTATAGTTTCCATTTTTAGTTTAGATATCTAACTCAGATAAGGCCCATTTATTGAACTACATCTAAGGAGCTGTAAACAATTATAGTAGTTATCTGGAATATCAGGAACAGGTTGACATAATGGTCAGAAAGAAAACAAATTCGAGAATCTTTATCAGTTAAGAAGCAAACTCAACGGCTAGGAGTGACAAAAGGGCCGAGTAGCTCGTTAGCTCATCAAAGCTCGGCTCATAAACGGCTCAGGCTCGTTTCGGGACAAGCACAAGCCCGAGCCGAGCAGGCTCGGCTTCACAGCTCTTCGAGCTCGCGAACAGCCCACGAGCCTAAGGTTTAAGAGCCCACAAGCTTGGCACGTGTGCTCGTAAAAAATGTGAAGAAAAAAGTTTTTAAAAAATTTAAAAAAAAAAAAAAGAGCTCGTTGACTCGGCTCGTAAGCTCAATAGCTCGTGGACCGAGCCCAGCTCGACCCTTAAGCACAAGCTCGGCTCGTGCTCGAACGAGCTCGACTCGTCACTTTGACGAGCCGAGCTCAGTGACGAGCCGAGCTCATGAGTAGATGGGCCGACTCGGCCCATTGCCACCACTATCAACAACACTGTCCAATTTGTAGTTCGATAGATATCCATTCAGATTTAAGGATTATAAATGTAGCAACCGAAAGAAAAAAAAAATAAAAAAATTTAGATACACGTGCTGCCGTCTCTGATTATAAATCACGTTTGCCGTCTCTGATTGATTCTTTCATTACTTATGCCAAATAGCCCTTAAACGTGATTTGCCCTCCGAATCATTTCAATCTATTCAGCTACGTATTTTAAATTTTTCTAAATGTGACTTTCTTCCATTAGACATTTCATTTAAATTTTAATATCCACTTGTGGCGTAACCATTTAAATTGCAAGACAATGCTAATCCGTTTTCAGTCAGGATTTGCAAAATGAAAACAAATTCCCACTTATCCACATAGTTTGAAAAAAGGTAAACGGGTATTGAGGCTTTTTTTGTCACGAGGCGAGGCGTAAGCCTCACCACAAACAAAACAGGTGTAATCTGCCGAACAGAACAGGTGCAATCTGGCGTCGATGCACTGAACAAGAAAAAAGCCAAACAAAGTCTAGTGAAATAATTTTAAATTGTAAATCACTAGAAGAAGGCAGAAGCAAAGGAGAAAATAGACATAGAAGCAGCACTTGAGGACCTTTTTTAAGCGATGGATTGAAGATAAGTTTTATGGCTGCCGTTTAGTTCTGGGAAGATTTCTGACTACCGTGTATGACTACCGTGTAGTTCTGGTCATCTAGGAAGATTTCTGCCGTGTCGAAGGATTTCTGGCTGCCTTTTGGTATTCTAGATATTTTAATATTTTGTTTGGCCCAAAATGTCTTTTTAAATGGCCCTTCTCTTTTTTAAAGAGGGTTTTTTTTAATTCCTTTTCAAAAACTTGAAAAAACGTACTTCAAATGAGGCGCACGCCTCATTTTTTTTGCCTCAGATGTAGAGGCGTGCGTCTCATTTTTTTTGCCTCATAGATTGAGCCTCGAAGCGCAGAAGCTGCGCCTCACAGTGAGGCGGGCCTCAGCAGGGTTTTTTCATACCATGCTTATCCATTATCAACTCATTTTCCAATTTGTATATTTTAAGTAAAATATCCTCGACTCACCAGATTTTTATCCCATGTTTATAACCATTAACCCACGTTTACTTCCACTAACTAACCATTTAACCACATAATTAAATCCCGGTTGCATTGAGTTAACTCTCCAATTATCTTTTAATTCCAGCTTGAAGTGGATCAATTTTGATTAACTACCAAATCATATCTCCAGAATTGGTATTTCAAAAGTAACCTTTTTCCGACTTTTGGCTTCCATTTTGTTTTTTGGTTACTGCCAGATTCATTTTCTGCTGCATTTTGTTTCAATTCAACACAAAGGGTATTCAAACTCCAAGCAATTAAGGTAGGGGTGTTTTCTACACTTTTGTAAATGAAGTAAAATTTATTTGTTTTTCGAATTACGTTAAATGTGTTATTGTGCTACTTATGAAAGAAATGGAAGCACCTTTTGGTGTTTCAAACAAGAGATAAAGAGATGATGTATGACACTTGAATGGGGTTATCAAAACTCGAAGAGTAAATGACTGACTGATCACTGATTCATTTTGCTAAATTGGCGGTGACACAAATAACCAAACTTTGCATTTCTGAAAAATAAATTTATATTTTTACCATTTACTTAAGTATTTCCCTACTGAGTATTACTTGTGATACTCATCCCTACAAAATTTACAGGTTAATTGAAGGCAAAGTGGTGGCATGGCTTGGTGGCGAGTGTTCGGGCGATTCGAAATGCTTTTAAGTTCTAGTAATATTTCATTATTTCCATTTGTGTAAACCTTGCATGAACCTTAGATGGCACATTTAAAAATGTTTAATGTTTATTTCGTCTAATTTTAATTACATTGCACGTTGACTACAACATATGAATGTTGGATCGACTAAGTATCAAGTTTCATTATTGCTAAAATAAATTTCAAGATTCTATCCTCTTATTTGAGAATGGTATAACCTAGGCTACCGTACATGTTTTTGAGTGAAATCGGTTGGGTTTGAAAGATCTACGAGTCTTCTAACAGTAGCCTTTGGAATTTCCTCGAAATATTATCTAGAGCAAAAGTTATGCCCGTTTTAGTAAGCTGCGTCGGAACAGTTTCGGATTTCTGCTCACCTCCGTTTGAAAAATATTTTCGTACTTTAAATGTTATCATCGAGACCCAAAATTTTTATATGTNGACTGACTGATCACTGATTCATTTTGCTAAATTGGCGGTGACACAAATAACCAAACTTTGCATTTCTGAAAAATAAATTTATATTTTTACCATTTACTTAAGTATTTCCCTACTGAGTATTACTTGTGATACTCATCCCTACAAAATTTACAGGTTAATTGAAGGCAAAGTGGTGGCATGGCTTGGTGGCGAGTGTTCGGGCGATTCGAAATGCTTTTAAGTTCTAGTAATATTTCATTATTTCCATTTGTGTAAACCTTGCATGAACCTTAGATGGCACATTTAAAAATGTTTAATGTTTATTTCGTCTAATTTTAATTACATTGCACGTTGACTACAACATATGAATGTTGGATCGACTAAGTATCAAGTTTCATTATTGCTAAAATAAATTTCAAGATTCTATCCTCTTATTTGAGAATGGTATAACCTAGGCTACCGTACATGTTTTTGAGTGAAATCGGCTGGGTTTGAAAGATCTACGAGTCTTCTAACAGTAGCCTTTGGAATTTCCTCGAAATATTATCTAAGGAAAAAGTTACACCTGTTTTAGTAAACTGCGTCGGAACAGTTCCGAGTTTTCTGTCCAACTTCGTTGAAAAATATTTTCATGCTTTAAACGTTATCATCGAGACCCTAAATTTTTATATGTTGTTCCTACATGAATGTAAATGTCTCTATTAAAATTTTATAAGTTTTCGGCGACGTTTGCTAGGTCGAACAATTTTTTATCTTTCCGCTGCTACGCTATTGGTATTGTTGAATTTCTTCCGAATGTTTTCCAAAAAGCAAATCTTACCGTAATTGTCTAACTCTATAGAGAAAATAATCTCCCATCATATATATATATTCAAACTTCAAATTTCCCTTATTTGAAATTTATTTTGGTTGACGTTAAAGAGCTCAAATTAAGAAGACTTTTAACGCTTCGAGTTCCTAGAATTTGGGACGTTACAATAAAGGCCAAAGAAGCAACAAGAACGACATTGAAACAACAATATATGCCAAATTGATCAGGAAATCGACCAAAATTACGGAAACCACAAATAGAAGAAATCAGTTTAACGATAAGAACCGATTCCTAAAATTCCAGCAGATAAGATTGATCTTCAGTTCTTCACTAAGGCAGGTTCAACAATACACACATAACAAGGTGCAGAAATATCATAGATTCAGCAATGGAGCAATACAGCAAACACCAGAATCACAATAAAACAGGAGCTTCCACAAAGTCAAATTATAGTAAATCAGCAAGATTATATATACGCTAGGAATCAAGAACCAAGATTCAATAATATCATAGAGATTTCCATAACCAAGATAGGGAAAACCTGTCATGATTCCAGTCGCACACACGAGTTTATAAAACCCCAGTTATAGAATTCAAGAAAGAAGAATGCACCTTGCACTAGGGGCCCTCCGGAGTACTTCAGGCTCAAACTCCACAGGCAAGCCCAAGAACCCATCAAATCGATCAAACGTAACATGATTAACATGCTGCACATCAGTTGGCCATCCAATTTCCATAACACCACGACCACAACTGGCACTGCCGGCACCAGTAAACTCTTCTCTATCCATCTTGCAAGCCAACCAAAATCTCTTTCGAAAGAGAGTCACCAAAAGTGCCAAAAGAGAAAGTTGATCCCTCCTGTCCTTCTCTCTCTTCTCCTTCACCCTATTTTCCTCCTCCTTCTCTGCTATGTCACCGCCCGTCACATCAGAAATCCCCTCCTCACCCGCATATGACTGAGTATGACGAAACAATGTGGCATTGTTGTGGGTAGGTGTGGATATTGAAGGGGAAGAAGAGGAAGATGAGGAGTGGAGCACCTCTGTCATTCTTACAACGGTTGAACAAATCAATGAATAGAAACGTTTCAATATTCTTTGTACCAAAGTTTTTTTTTATTCAAGAAAATATAATTGCTCTTTATGTTTTCTTGAATAAAGAAATCTTGAGTTGAGATTTGGCATACTATTAAAGAAACACATAAACTCTCAGCTGGAAATGGGGGTTTGGTTTGGAGAGAAATATTCAATTTTCGTTATGTAATGCCGTTAGTGGAGTTGGATTGAAGGAATGGTAAAGATAACTAGACGTGAGAGTCAGAAAGGGATTTATTTATTCAAGAAATTATAATTGTTTTTGGTGGCGGCCTCTGCAGATTGTTCTTGAATAGATTCATTGGATCGCAGAGGAAGAGAGAGAAAGAAAGAGACATTGAATGAGATGTCGTTTGTATATTGAAGTAATGTTGTGGTTTGTGGTGGTTGAGGTGGACGCTTTATTTTTCTTGATGATGAGAGTTCCTTTGAATAAATCTACTTCTACAATTTTGGGTTACAATAATAGATGACAACCTCTCATAAGGAGGTAGGGTCCACAAATATATTTTAATCGCGAGCCCCACCTCTTTGTGAGAGATTGTCATTCATTGTTGTAACTCAAAGTTGTACATGTAGCATCTCTCAGTAATTTTTCCTTTTTTTAGGGTTTTTGCTTTTTCTTTTCTCAATTTCTTATCTCATATAACTTTAGGGTTTTATAGATAATATATTTAGTTAGTTTAATTGTTTTTAAGCTCCTCGATAAAAGTCGAAAAATATTATTGTTATTTAATACAGCGATTGATGAACAGTGTATATGGAATCATGCTATTTGTCATCTAAATCAATCATTTCAAAAATCGAATTTTTAATAGATTTTGATAAAAAATAATGAAATATGTGATTGAAAAGTTGTGGATCCCATAAAATGTGTGATTAAAATTAATTGTTAACTTTAACTCAATATTTTAATTGAATTTTAATTCAATCCAACCTTTGTCTCGTCTAGTAATCAACAATGACGAATCCGTGTCAAGTTTTTTATCCTTTTTTATGGGAATTTATGAGAAAGCAACTTACTGGATTAACACCATATATTAGTACAAAATCCGAACTCATCAGTTTAGGTGATTTAATTGTAAATTATAGTAACGTTTATTTTGATAACTTAGGAATTATTCTCTTTATATTTCAATTTTGTATTTTGAGTTTTGAATTCATTTTGTATTTTATATTTTGAGTGTCCATTTTGAAATTGTTAAAAATGTATTATTTTTGACATCTTGAAAAAACAAAAAACTATTTTTGAAAATTTTGACTCAATTATAACTGAAAACACTTAAAACGACAAATTTGTCGTTTTGAGTTTTCTTTGTAAACTTTTAACTTTTTTTTAAATACGTGTTTTCGAAAATAAAAAAGATAACGCATTTTCACTGTTTTGAAAAATCGAAAACAGAAAATGGCTCGAAGATAGTAAAGAGAGCATGCCATTATAGTTTCGTCATCCACCAAAAAATAAACAGAACGTCAAGCTAATATTTTGTTTGGTCCTCATTATTTTCAAAATATATTTTACTCCCTCTTATTTTTACCATACATTCTTTAATAAAATAATATTGCCCACAAATTCAAAATATTTCCTTATTTTTTAACCACACATTCTTCATCAAAACACAATTCAAAAATGCATTATGTTGAGAAAATGGGACTCAAAAAGGCTCTAAGTCACAAAGCTATGTATAAGCACCGTACTTTAGTCCCTGATATCCTTCCTCTAGGCCAGGAATGCAGAGAGCTTACCAATCAACTACAGATTTTTATTTTCCCTTTCTGCTTTATGGGATCGAATTTAAATGATTTAACGAGCATCCAGTGCATTCCCAATTTGTAATACAGAAAATGCTGGAGCCAAATGATGCGAAAACCAAATAACTTCCAGTCCACAATGTTTCAGCAGAGACAGATAAACTGGTGTACATGCAGCTAATATAGAGGAAAACCATGTCATAAAGCATAGCGCAACCACAAACACGGTGTTGCATCATACACGAGTTTGTTTTACTTTTATTTAAGCCACTTTACTAAGAAATTCATACTAAGGAATTCACCTCAGTCGTGCACTTCTTCGGATTTGTTCTTCTTTGACCCATAATACCATCCAAAAGCAGCAAAAGCAGTAGAGAGACCAGCTAAGACAGCATAGTTTCTGTATTTATCAGTCGACGCTTTAGATGTTGAAGAGGTTTGGCTGCTTGGTATAGCTTCAGATATGGATCCTGCGCCTCCTGAGCTTGCTGTGGCTGTTTCTTCAGGTTTGGGGATCTGGGAGTGACAAACTATCAAACATGAGTTGAAGATAAAGTATGACCATCCAGAGAAAAGGATTTAAAACTGAAAAGATGAAATGGAGTTAAAAACTTCAAAACTGATGCATCTAGAACAACCTCGAATCTGAAGGTAAACTGACTTTTGTAAGTCAAAAAAGTACCAAGTTTTGAAAATATTTAATCATTGAAGCAGTGGGTATCATTTTCTTCATCATGAAAATAACTAAACTTAGTCAAAGGTTCTTACTTTATGGATTCATTTCATTTCAGTCCTGTATCCCTTGGGATTTAGCAGCTTCCACCAAAATATGAAAATAATATGATCATTTTAAGATTTAACTTGAAGAGTCCATTTACTCAAACCAAACTTTGAAGAGAGCCCTATATAATACGCATACGTAAGTGCATAGCATAATTGTACCTTGCGAGCAAGCTTCTCCAACTTCTCCTGCTCCTTTTTCTATAAAGGTTGTGAAAATTACAGCAGGTCAGAATATTTGACAACTCTTGTTGAATCAGAGACAAACTACATGTCCAAGATGGAAAGGGGAAAAGAATATGCACTTCAAGCAATACTAACTATAACAGCAATTGGAAACTAGGGACACCCAATTAACCATTGTGGATGCCACAATGATGCAACCCAAAGGGGGAGGGGACCCAACTAGAGGGCCAAGTGCAAAATATACACATGATCTCTTTTCAATTACACGTAAGCCTGTTAATCACAGTGCATGATCTCAATAACACTTTGGTTACTCTTTCCTTGTGATAAAAATAGAGAGCAGCAGCTGTCTCCCAATCCCTGGCCCAAGACGAAATATCTAATATAGCGCAAAGAAATTATCTTCAACGTTTGAGTTAAAAGCGTGTAATACTGAAATATATTAGCTCATTCCTGGGAGTGGGAATATAGGTCGTTAGCCACTTGGCAGTGTTGTATGGATAAGATCAAAATATTCCCTTGAATGTAATTGCTTGTATTGCATTAATGTGTATATAAGGTGAATGAAAGGAAAGGTTCATTGAGCTAAAAAGCATTCCCAAACAATTCAAATCTTCAACTCAGCATGAAGAAAAGTTTAATCACTTGAAAAGCTAAGAACAACAAGAAGAATGGCGGTCATCATAAGAATAATGAGGATACTTCAATTATGTCAAAATCGTCAAATCCTTCTCTATTTAAGAAACAATGCGAAAATATTTTATCTGTATAAGTAGTAAGTACGAATACCTTTTTTCTCAATTGTCATCAAAGGCATTATTACAACTTTGCAAGTTATAACAACCTGAATACTATAGTATATATAATGTTGAATAAAGACCTGCTGAAACAATGTCCAACGACAAACGTTTAACGATAATGAAACAAAAAAGGTTACAAACTAACTTCTTTCCAAGCAAAAGAAACAATAATAAAAAAATTAGTAATCAGCTCTCTCACAGATAAATGTTATGCCCCTGTTTGACACCCATTTGCTAAAAAGCATTCCCAAACAATTCTAATCTTCAACTCAGCATGAAGAAAAGTTTAATCACTTGAAAAGTTAAGAACAATAAGAAGAATGGCGGTCATCATAAGAATAATGAGGATACTTCAATTATGTCAAAAATCGTCAAATCCTTCTCTATTTAAGAAACAATGCGAAAACATTTTATCTGTATCAGTAGTAAGTACGAATACCTTTTTTCTCAATTGTCATCAAAGGCATTATTACAACTTTGCAAGTTATAACAACCTGAATACTATAGTATATATAACGTTGAATAAAGACCTGCTGAAACAATGTCCAACGACAAATGTTTAACGATAATGAAACAAAAAACGTTACAAACTAACTTCTCTCCAAGCAAAAGAAACAATGATAAAAAAATTAGTAATCAGCTCTCTCACAGATAAATGTTAAGCTCCTGTTTGACACCCATTTTTGAGAAAAAATGAATTCTGGAATAGTGATTAATGGAAAAATGTGTAGTTAAAAAGTAATGAGAATTTTTGGGTTTATGTGTAGTATTATTTTATTGATAGAATGTGTGGTTAAAATGAAAAAAGAGAAAAAAAAATGAGAATGAGAAAAAATGGGTGTCAAACAAGGGCTAATTTCATATACATTTTAAAATTTTAGCGAATCATATAATCAATCTCATAAAGTACAAATTAAAAACAATTCCTGGTCATCACTCAGATGAAGTATGAAGTCATGAACAACAATCTTTTTCATATCACTTGCTCGCAAATTGAATGTCTTACAGAAATGTGTTAGACTAACTGAAATTGACCTTGATATAGACATTTTCTGCAGCTTTTTCCTCCTCACTGAGCACTTTGCCACTGCTTGAGAACCTACGAGATACATGTCTCACAACAGTCCTGGTCGCCATGGAAACACCAAATTTTCCTGTTGAGAAGATAGATTTCTGCCACTAAGTATTCAATATCATAAAGCATTTCATAGAGATGCTAAATAAAATAGCTTTCTAGCTGACTTATCAATTAGCCACGGAGCATGGTATTTTTCCCCAACAGATAACTAGATCAGTAGAGTTAGGCCAACCTGACAGATTATAACTACATGCTCTAGAAGAAATACATCAAATATAAAAGCCCCTTCATCATCAATCGGAAAGAAAATTTATTTTTGGTTTATTTTCTCCTTCCTAATATGCGCGCCTTTCCGTTAGGAACCGTGGATTTTTTGGTACATCACATCCATGCATTTACGATTCATGTCAACGTATTGATACTCCTGAAATGAGTTCTATTTGCTCTTGGATTGACATATTCCTAATTATTTATTAATATATAGTTCAAAATTCAGCCCACGTTTTGTTCAATTAAAAAATTTAACAATTAATTTTAATCACACATTTCATGGTCCAAATTTATTTTTGGTTTATTTTCTCCTTGCTAATATGAGCACCTTCATTTCAGCAATAAAGTAACTTCATCATGTTCAGTCAACAAAGTCGATTTGAAATATATCTTCAAACTGTCATAATAAAGTTGGCAATTTGCCTTTCAGTCTGCTATTATTGACTAGCTCTCTAAATTAGAGAGTAGGAAAGCAGATAAATAATAGTAATTTTGTATAATTTTAGTCTCATTTTTTATGGTTTTCCATCCCAAATGCTGCAAAACCTCACTTAGCTTGCAAGTGAGTTGGATTTTGGTTACAGTGATTAAAACATTCTCACCTCCAATTAAATGAAAAAGGAAAAAAAGAGGTAAAAAACAAATAGGAATCTTTAGAAGGAGAAGAGGTTGCATTTTCTCAGACATTAACCCAGAGGGAAACAGATATTCATGCATACTACGTGCATTAAGCCTCGTGTCGAAGCTCCATTTAGATCGAACAATCTTAAGGAAACAGCAAGAGAAGGTAAAAATGATAGTGATATTTGATCAAATGGGTATAAATGTTAGAGCACCTTTTAAGCTTAGTCAAACATGCTCTTAATCTGTACAATAAAATGTTAATGGAGATTATACAAGGTTCCAAGAAAAGATATTTAAGAAATGGTAACCCATCCACGCCATAAGCTATTTAGTTTCCAGACACTGATGAAAATGGATGATCATGTAATTTGTACAGAGTTCCTTTTCCAAGAAATTGGGGTTTAAGAATACTTTCAAGCACATCAGACTTAACTAGATAGTAAGAATACTTTCAAGCACATCAGACTTAACTAGATAGTAGTTCTTTCAACGGATGCTTGAGTATTAAGGATCCCACCATGAAAGGGAAAAAAAAGGCCATTGTAGGGTAAAGCCAAGGGAAAACATTATTTATTCAAGAAACATACCCCTCAATGGCCAACCTACTAATGATGTGTCACATATACGTGTGTCAGTAAGTTTAATCACCAAATGTTGTTGCTAAACTAAGAGAGACGTGCGAGGACTTGACCAACTGGTATAGATAAGCTTCCAGTACATGGGAAAGCCTAGCATCAAGATGCACATGTATCCTTCCATCTATAATACCTTAGAAGAGAGTTCAGCTTTCCTAGTGATGAGCCATGTCATTACTAGCCATTTTACATAGGAATTGTTTTCATTAGATCCATTCAAGATGAAACAAACAATTCAGATTCATAGTGGTAACAAATATAATGAGAATGAGTGGAAATAAATAGATGGTTTCTAAGACATTGAGAACTCAAAAAGTACATGGACAAAATGCATGTGTATATACTTATTGATTTAAGTTGGGAATTAATTGTCAATTCATGTTTAGAAACAGTATGTAAAGCAGGCATCAGGATCTATCTTTGACATCAAGTATTTCGATATCGAGTTCTAATGAGATCAGATCAATCCAAACTATTATCACCATGAAGCTGTACTTAAAAGAAACTCGCTAAATGCATCATCACCAGAGAGAAATGGTACTAGGGTTCAAAGAACAACTTAATATGAGATCAATTGATTCATTCATGACCTAAATGCCCAAGAACGATTAATAATTTCATATTTAACTGATAAAGAGAATATAAAATCCAACAAAAATTTAATTAAACAAATGCACGAATAAGCAATTGTACGACAATAATGCACCAATTAGATAGGTTAAGAGTGTACGTATTCATACCTACACGACCATATATGCTACAAACGCGAATTTTAATCTTATAGGGAAAAATAGAGGAAATAAAATACAAAATGAACAAAAAAAAAACCAATGCTAGATCAAAAACAAAAGGATTAGAAGCAATCTCTCTAAATGCAAATGAATTAAATAGGAAAATACAGCGGGGGGAAAAAACCAAACTCTATTAACAATAAGTAAAAATTAAACGACCGCAAGGACTGACAATCCACGAACATTGAATGCGCAGATAAACATATGCTCAAAGAGATACAGCAAATGCATCTATAGGTTGAGTAGATACCTGTATCCTGAAGGTCAGAGAGGGATGCGAAAGAGGGAGAAGGGGTTTGAGGTTTCGAAATTAGAAAGTTTTCTGAGAAGTTATTTTAGCCCCGGTTTGGTCAGAAATTATTTTTTTGATTCTTCTACTCATTTTTAATCACACATTCGTCAATAAAATAATATTTTTCATCGCATCAATAACTTCTTCTTTCTTTTCAACCACATATTTCATATCACATCAAATAAAAAAAATACATTTTTGGACTCAAAATGTGCTTCAAACAAGAGCTTAGAATAAGTTTAACACACGAGACACGAGTTTAGGTTACACATTAAATTATGTTTGATTATTATTATTTTAAAAAATACTTTCTTTTTTTTTCTTATTTTCAATTATACGTTTTTCAATAAAATAATATTATACACAAATTAAAATAATTTCCTTACTTTTTAACAAAACATCTTCCTTCAATCTACTATTCCTAAATGTGTAATCTTTTAATGGGACCAAAGGCTCTCAATTTAATTATAATAATTTATAATTTAGTTAATAAAATTTAGAGAAAATTACATGAGATTGAGGTTTTCAAGATGATTGTTCAAAAATCAGATAATAAATTTATTTAATCAAATATCAGGTATTAATTTAACTATTAATATTAATAATAATAATAATAATATAAAATATATCCAGCCTCGTCCTAATCCAATTTAATCTCAAATCATAAGTTCATTTCTCTCTATCTTCTTTCCTCTCCAACTAACTCACAACTCCGACGCCGCACCCACTGTTGGAGATCGCCGTCAAGCTCACAGCGACGATCTCTACCCCACACCCCCACATCAACTCATATCCTACAAAACCTAATTCATTTTCAAAACTATTAACTACCACCTTCATCTTCACAACGCACTCACTCTGGCGAATCTTCACAGTTCAGTAGTGGTGTTCCTTCCTGTTAACTTCGCCACTTCATGTGCCATGAAACAGCGTTCCTTTGTGTGCATTGACGTTGCGAGCGGCGATGGCGCTCCTTCGTGTTAGGTGGTTTTGCTTGCGTGACTCTCCTTAGTGAGCAACAGTGCAATTCGAAACTCAGACAATACGTTTAAATTTTCAAATCTCAGGTGATAATTAAATAATTAAATATATTAAGGTTACATTTATATAATTAATGGTAACAATTACATATTTATATGTCACAACGTATTTATTTGTTATATATTATCAAATTAATTGGTCACATATTATTTTTCGGTTACAAATTTAAAAAATTATACTTCACAATTTATTTATTGATCACAAATTTTATAAATCACAACTTATTTGACGGTCACAAATTTTCAAATTAGTTGGCAATATCAATTTTTTAGATCACAAATAGCGAAATAGTTGGTCACATACAACAAACTCTTCAACCCCACCCTCAATCCTAATCCACTACCAATATTTGATCACAAATCAATCATATATTTAATCACAAACACTCTTCATCTCACTTCGCCACAACCACAGCCACTACCAATAACACCAACACCTACACCACAACACCACCATCAACACAATCACCACCGCCAACAAAAACCACATTTCCAAATGACTCTCAAACATGCCCAAATCCTGAATCTAAGTTGGTAACCTAACTCGAGCTCAGATCCGATGAACCGGTCAACTTTTCCCCTAAAATTTATAATAGTGGTCCTATTCTAAAAGTTAACGCGAAGTTCCAGATGTATTTATTATTATAGTTATCTCACGGTTGACAATTATTTTTGCAGAACTTTTTTTCTTAAACTCGTTTCCAGTCACACATTCTCACAATAAAATATTTTACAAGTGAATCTAAAAATTTTTCCTCCCTTTTAACTACACGTTCTCACAATATCATTATTATACTATTTTGGAATAATAAATTTTTGAAAAACATGTGATTAAAATGTAGAAAAAATTTGAATTTTCGTGCAAAATATTTTATTTTGAAAATGTGTGATTAAAAATAAATTTTGAAATAATGATAGACAGGTTATGTGAACCTTGCCTTTAAGCAAAATTTAGCAGAGTACCTAGTTCATATTTATGGAATGCACTGGATTGTTTGAAATACCTCGTGAATGTCGTTAAGCCTATGTTAGATAGAAATTAAAATTTAGATTTTAATCTAAATCTAAATTAGTAATTAATTTTAATTACTCATTTCATAGAATTCACAATTTTTTAGATATATATTTTATCAATTTTTATAAAAATCTATTAAGAACTTGTTTGAGCTCATTTTTTGTCAAAAAATGCATTTTTGAATATTGTATTGATGAAAAATGTGTGATTAAAAAATAAGAAAAAAATTGAAATTTGTGTATAATATTATTATATTAACTGAAATTTGATCAAAACACTATTTAAGAATACATTTTTTTTTTCCAAAAAATGGGGCTCAAATAAGGGCTAAAAAATTGATTTTAAAATATGGAAACAAAGAAAAATAGCTATAATTCAATTGGTACTAATAAGTACGTTTTTACATACTTATTTTACTGTCAAAATATGAACAATTGTTGATTAATATGTTAGAATATAGCTCAATTATATGCAATTCATGTTTTGCAGGACAAGTGATGAATGTAGCGGAAATAAGGAGAACAATTGAAAAATGATCAAAATGAAAGAAAGTGAAAGTTCAGTGACTAAAGTGAAAATACTCAAAAATTATCTTGGGGCTCACGATGATCCATGCTCTTATGATTCCCAGCTAAGAAAGCAATTAGAAGTCAAAAAGGAATGGAATATTATCAAAATCAATTTTCAATTTGTACAAGATATATTCCAGATTTTTAGCCTAAAATTAAGACTAATTTTTGGCATAATAAAAGTCCGAATTCGAAAAGAGATATTTCTAGCAAAGTTGCAGATCTTTGAATTATCTTTCTAATTCATTTTAAATCGTCCAAATCGAATATTGGAAAAGAAAGTTATAACTAAATTACTGACTGTTGTGCAGAGACAAAAAATCCGCTCCCGAAAACAACTTTCCTTATTCGATTAGAACTCTTTTGGAAACCAATTTGGACGTGATTTTCATCCAATTTCCGACTCTTACAAATACTTAACAGCAGAATACATATGGAGGATGCCTCCATACACCATTGTTCTCTTCTTTGGCTCAAGAAACTCATGCAAAACTAAAACCCTTAGTGAAGTTACGAAAAAATTCGGTTGGAATTGGTGATTTCATATCTTTTATTCATTTAATTTGATCTTTTCTTTGTCAAAATAATGTTATAATTTAGATTTTCATTCTTTTGAATTTATATTGAAATCGGTTTAATATTTATAAGATTTTTCATGGATTCAGTCATTTTTTTTTCATTGTACAATCAAACTATTTATTGAGTTTCAATTTCAATTATTTGTTGTCGAGATTGGTTTAATAATTATTATATCCTTCACAGATCCAATCATGCTTCTTCTATTGTTAGATTGAACTAGTTGTTGAATTTTAATCTCAATTTTACTTTATTGACGGATTGATTACTGCCTTATGCTTGATGTATATGGTCGATCTTTGATCTTATTCCAATAAAATTGTGCGAATATGTCTTAAATCTAAATTCTAGAATTACATTTGTAAATTAAATTGATTTTCACGATATATCTTCCGATTAGAGTGTCGGGATGAAAACCTCTAATTGTATTATAAAAATGAATAATTGATATGATTGATCCAATCTAATTGAGGGAATTCCGACGCTTCACTGCTTCGAATTATTGATTTTAATTTCACCTTTCAACATTGAATTTTATTATACATTTGAGAGAACAATTCAACATTTTTAATCCTTTAAATATTCTTCTATCTCCCTATGGATATGACACCCCAAAGTTACACTACAACTATCGCGTTATTCTCTAAGCGTAATCATGTACCAACTTTTTACGATTATTTGTTTTCATCTAGTGCATTTTTTGTAACCAAGTATTTTTCGGATTCAGTCACAAAGTTGAGGTATATAACCAAAAAAGCCACATGCTTTTACAAAGGTTATTAATACAAAACGTCTCTATGTTTCTGTTTTTGTATTTTCACACCAATTTACAACTTTTATCTCAAAAATCATCATTTCCATCTAATTTGTCAATAAAAATGTATGAAATGACGAATATATTTTCCTATTTAAATAAAACAAAAGAAAAAAGAAAAATAAATAACTAATTGCAACTATACTTCCAAATTTAAAAAAAAAATGCAAATGAATCACAAATAAATTATTAAAAAATTATAAATAATAAAAGAAATTCCTTCCATCCCGTTTCTCTCCTTTCTTGTTCTATTACGCCCTATTTGATAGGAAGAATTTTACATGGAAGTTGGAAATATTTTCCATTTTTTACATTTTAGGTTGTTTGATAGGAAAAATTTTCTAGGCAATTGTTTTCTAACTTATACCTCACGTGACCCCATTTTCCACATTTCCTCGAATTGGTTTTCCCATGGTTTGTTAGTTTTTGGTTCTCTATGCAATTTTTTTTTTTTAACAATTGAAACAAATTATATCCCTTTAATGGGCAATTTTCATGTAAAACAAAACCAAACGAACACTAAAAGATCCAAGATTTCAATATTTTTCACGTGAAAAATTATACCAATCAAACACAATTAATTGACAATTCTCAGGAAAACAAGTTCTAAGCAATTCAATTCCATATAATTCATTTTCTTTCATTGCCAAGAAAATTTTGCCATTCAAACAAGTAAAAAGTTGGAACTTGGAACCAAGTTCAATGGAAAATAGTGTTAATCAAACATGGCCTTACTTCTTTTGCTACCTTCTCTGCGATTGCTTCCCTTTGCATATTTGCTACTTCCATTGATCATACATCACTAGGTATTAGAGAGAACAAACCCTGAGCTACTTATAGATTTGTTGGTGCACCATAAAAATGTTTACTTCCCAAACCAATCCCCTAATAACAGGAAGAAAAAGAACATACATTCATACCCCAATCTCAAACCCAATATAACGAGGACAAAACATTTGTAGAACCAGCAAAATAGTCTACCATAGTTGGAATTCAAGTGTGTACAATCTGCGGTCTAAACATCAAAAAATAGAAATTAAGACAATTAAACAAACACCAACAAACAAAATTTTGAATTCAATGAATATAATATTGACGCGATGCAATCCAACAGAGAAATATATTTTTATTAAGCGGTGAAGGTGTCGCTTTCTCTCTACTGGCATCTTTGAATTTTATTGACACTTGATCAAAGTTATCAATGAAATACAGTATCTTTTTCTACTTCAAAACATAAGTGACAACCACCCATTACAAGAGAGAGATTTTTCTTTTTCTAATTTTTAATAATTTATTTGGGACTCGTGTACTTTTTTAAACAAATTGGTAGTATGATTGTTGTTGACCCTAAAAAATGAACTCAACAGATACCGGGCCCATCCTTGCCACTTCAAGCAATGATCCGATGCGTTTCTGAGCGGTAGTACAATTGGAAAGAACGCGGGAGGTGATTTCCGACAAGAGACACAACTGTTCAAGGGAATACATGGCTGTCCACGTGGACCACTGACCTAGAGCTTCCAATTCTGGGGGGTAACAATAGTCCCCTAAGTCTATGCATGGTTATTTATGTAATAAATGGACATTCAAATGTCCCACAATTTCTTGAAGAGGATCTAATCTTTGTAGACCTTCCTTGGTTATTTATGTAATGCATGGACTTTCGAATGTCATGCAATTTCGAGAAGAGGATCTAATCTTTGTAGACCTTCATACCAGCATCTTCCGAAATGATTCGCCTAGCGACATCGGTTTCTATTTTACGGTGCCTTCTTTTTAAAGGTTAGGAATGCTCATCGTTGACCAAGCAACCTCAAATTGACATT